ATAAATAAGCTAATTGCAAATTCCTAAATGCACATACAGTAACTGGATGTTGCTACCAAAATTTGCATACTTGTGCCACTGCTTCTAAATGTATGAATACAGTACAATTATTGCATGTACTGTGGCAATGACCAGCAAATAATTTGGGAATTTTCATTTAGTTTAATTTACCTCAGTGTTTTCCCGATGACTAGTTTTCCATAAATAACCCGGTTAGCAAAGCAAACAACTCATTTATGTTCATGAAGTGAAAGTCAAAAATCTAATTTTCATTGACTTTAATACATATTCAGAGACTAATCTAAAACATGCAACCCCCCAATTCAGACTATATAAAAATATTCTGGTGCTCCCCTGTGCAATATTGGTGTTGGAGTATTTGAGCGAGTTAATGTTCTGGTCAAAGTTGTGGGTTTTCTCCAGCAACTACGGTTTTCTCCCACAAGAAATGTTAACAGTGCAAAATGATCAGACATGAGTGATAAGGTGGTGGCTGAAGGCAACCCCAGAAAGCTTAATCATGTTCAGCTGTGTCCTTCACAGTTCAGCTGTGTCCTTCACAATTCAGCTAAGCTCTCAGCTGCAAGTGAATATGATTAGCACATGTCCACTTACTTACTATTTGAAGAATGTGTCAATTGTCATAACCAGAAGACTGGCACTGCATATATAAAATTGTTGAGCTACAGATAACAGATGAGTTTAATATCAATAAGTTTTGCCAGAACTAATCATTCACACATTCGGTTGTTTATTTTCTTGCCTCAATCAAATTGAAGGCAACAATAGATCAGTGTGCACTCAATACAAACACAATAAATGTGGACATCAAATTGTCTTCTCTTTTTAACATTATGATCATTTAAGTTAATAAGTTATGTTAAAAATTAAATACAAATTAGAATAGTATTATATTGTCCAGGATCTTGACATCCATCTGATGATTAAATTTGATACTATTATATGCTGATTTGTGTACATATTACACTGAAACAGTGCTGAACACTATTTAACAATTAGTCACCGAAGGTCAGGTTATTACAAGCCTATATTCACTGAGCCGAAGGCGAAGTGAATATAGGCTTGTAATCACCGAGCCTGAGGCGACTAATTGTTTTAGTATAAATTTCCAGGTGTTTACAAACAATAATCCACACAACTTTATAAAAATTCACTTCAAATAAATTTATTTTCAGTATAAATAGTTTGTTTACAAAATTTAAATCTCAGACACGACTCTGTGTCGCGTTGCGACTATAAAGCCAGTTTTTTTCCAAATAAAAGTACGTAAAGTTTAATATTTTACCTTGAAATATTTTTAAACCATATTTTGAAGCTTGTTTGGGTTTTTTCGGAATGCTATCTTCTTTAATTTTGGCAATTTCCTCCTCTGTTACTACGGCAAAACAGTCGCTGACCAGTGCCTATCACTTGACCAATCAGAATGCAGAAAAATCAATAGTCACCTGGAAATTTATACTAAAACTCAACAGTGCTAAACATTGAACTAATAGTATGCACTTTATGTGCTAATTAAACTGCATTAACGTTGTGCATAAATAACTATTAATATTTGGCAAATTAAGATTTGATCTCTAATATACACTGTGTGTGGTATACCAGACTAGTACACTTCGTACTTTCTGGTAATCTTCAATCTCGGAAACCTAAGGAAATCTTAACTAAAATATTTGTTCACAGAATAATTTTGTCACTCGAGACAAATCCTGATCACTAGAGACTGCTTGCATCAATCAACTGGAGTTTGATTTAATAGCCAGTTTATAATTTAAATTACATCCATGTTTAATATAGACTGGCTTCAAGTCTGCTGTTTGCTCACACGGTCGATGTTTCTTTCTCCTTCGCTTTAAAAACCGCATTTGTCCTTAATAGTTAAATACCGGCTTAATTATAAAATCAAATTGGTTAACTTGATGTCCTACACGGCTGCATGCAGGCCAATATTGACTTAAACTTTACATCACAACATCTAACTTGAAATCACTTCTTTACAACTCACGTCCAATGTTTACTTGGAAACTGAAGTATCTAACATTTTAATATTCAAATGATATTTTTAGTATACTATAAGTAATATATAGAATTTGTGTTCGTGCTCTATCAAAAATACAACCTCGTACCAATATCTAAAAAATATATAGACGCGAAGGTGTGTATTTGATAGAAAACCATTCTCGTACCCAGAGCCCTTCTTACGTGCGGCCAACGGAGCACGACGAGGGGCTCTGGCCAAATCCAAACCAGATACCATAGAAAACATGGTATGAGAACAACATCCGGTATTAGAACAATAACCTTCGTTGTGGCCAATCAGATGCCAGTTTGATATGGATTTGGCCAGAGCTCCTCGTCGCGCTCTGTTGGCCGCACGTAAGAAGAGCTCTTGGTACGAGAATGACAAAAGACATTCGCGAATGTAATGACAGAAAGATAGTGATGCAGGCAAGAAGCAGATTTGAGTTAAGTCTGTGCACTTTACCAAAAATAAGCGAGCTGCAAATATATTATAGGTCACCAGGGTCCACTCAGGGTATACTGAAACACGCGGCGCTATTATAGAGATTATTGTATATTTGTAATTGCTAGAAATCCGTTATTTCTTAATTTTATTATTGTATATTATTCTGTAATTGCTTGAAATTATTCTTTTTACAACAGAGACTGGCATTTGGGTCAAGTTATAGATTTAGCGACTCGACATCCAAACGAATTGAATACGAGGTTGACCAAACAAGCGACTGCAACAGTGGAAGTTTAAATCGTCAATGTATATATACGTAAGTCTCGTGACTTGTAAAATTTCGTTGCAAAACCTTTTCTTTTCAAAATTAATGTAAGAACATTGCAGTTTGGTCAACTTCCTACCCATTTTCCCCCGTGACAGACTATGTTTTAGGCAAAATTAATATATAAAATTCACATCGTTTCAGGCAGTTCCAATCAACTAAACTTACCTGACAACTCAACCTAACACAAAACGACCAACCTGACTTGACGCAAGACAAAGAACCCAACACAAGATGAACAACAAATAACATAAGGGGTCTCTTGTACAAACGCCGCGGACTAGCGCTCTCCATGCACCAGTTTTTCTAGCTTTCGTAAATTGGCTGTCTATTGCCTTAGAATTGGTATAAATTAGATTATACTAGACAAAATATAGTCTTCTTAAACATCTTTAACGTTTTATGTTTAAAGTTCTAAAGCTTTTCAGGCTGTACAACCGGTCCAACACAATCAATTCATGTCCTAACACCTGACCAGCCAAATACCTTAAAACTAAAATGAGATGATGAGATCCCATCATCCAGATGCAGCAAGCTTGTGACGTCGCTATATACAGCTATTTCAATTAAGGTCCCCCGAGCAAAGCGGAAAAGTCGAATACAAGCGCAAAAGGCTGCTGGGAATCGCTAATAAATGAATGAATTTATTAGCGATTCCCAGCAGCCTTTCGCGCTCGTATTCGACTTTTCCGCTTTGCTCGGGGGACAACCTTAATTGAAATAGCTGTATACCAATCTGCATGCTCATTAGCAATTTCATTGCGAGCTCAAAATTCGATGAGCTAGGTGGATGCAAGTGAAGGCCGAGCACGTAATAGAAATTGAGAGCGAATAATCTAATTGTTTTAGTAAAAACTTGTAAGAAAACACTTCAAAACGTTTTTGTTAATTTATTCTTTATAAATTCGTGAAAAATCACGCATGTAAGCAGAGTTTGGTTGGTTCACTCCGGCTGTACTTCGTCGGTTTTCACTGGGTACTCCGGATACCCTCTCAGTAAAATAACGCACAAATAACAACTTACTAACCAGGTCATATACTAAACGTTTGTGGTTTATTAATTAACTAACTTGTAAAGGCAAAGTAAACTAAATCTTGATTTCAGGACAGTTTCAAACGTCGCGCTACTGCCGTGCCAAACACATTGAATACAATAGATGAGTAATTTGAGCTGATTATCTATTGTGTTTATGATGCATTCGGAACAGCAGTTGAGTGACGTTTGAAACAGGCCTCAGTCACACCTTTTTGAAATCTTGAACTCAGTCACACCTGCTTGCAGACCTTCTAACTCTCACAGTTTAGCCTTCAAATCTCACGGGTTTTTAACAATAATTTCTCATGCAATAAATTCACACTTACAAAAATCAAATACAGTCAAAAATGAAACTTGCGTGTTCAGTGTTGGGTTATCACCGTTTTTACCTCATTATAATACGGTTTGTGTCCCTCCTTTGTCCATCTTGCGCATGTGAATTACTGCTCAAGCTTATGGCCATGAAAATCGAGTTTCTGTGTGTGTGTGCACGCATTTTCAAACAATTTTGTAAATCTGATGGTTTGAAATCCAAATCTCAAGGTTTATTCATGTACATTTTTGGGATCTAAAGGTTTTAGAGGTTGGAAGGTCTGTCCTTGAATCAGTGAGGCAAATTTGAACGTATCGAGTAGTAAAGAAAAACACGGTGCATGTGGTCTCATAAGCAGTGAAACCAAGAAAGGATCACATGATAGAAACAGACTAAGCAAATGAACCATGTACCACTATCATATGATCTTCGCTTGAAATGCTCAAATTTAACTCTCGAGATATTCCGGGAAACTAACTAAGATTCTGTAGAATAGATTTACCTTTTTTGATGCTGTTCTCGATCTTTTTCCTCAGTTCATGGCCACAAAATCTACACAAGTCCACAGATGCTAGCTTTTGCAAGCCACAAACACAATAGTTGGGGTCTTTGCTGCTGACACGTTTTGGAGAATATGAGAGAGTACTTCCTGTAGAACTATTAACACTGACGTTAGTATAACCATGGGCCCACAGCCAAATCAGGGAAATATATTCATGATGGAAAACCTGTTCCCATCGGTGTGCATATACCGTATTTAAACAGTACTTTGATATTGCGATATGCTTGGCCTCCCTACCCTCCATGGAATTCAAACCTAGGCCCAAACCATAACATTGCTTCATTTCCTGGGTGTGAGCTGGAACAACACAACCCAGGGGGTCCAGACAGTAGGATTAACCTTGAAGAACAACCAGTAACCACGATAAAAGTTAGTACAGTGTTGCTTTAATTCTCGTAATTGCTCGTCTGTAATGTTCACACGACTGAACAAAGAAACGCCATTTTGCAAGCAAAGACAAAGATATGCATGAACGTGGAGCAATTCACTAGCCTTACCGGAAACACCATTTTCAAGTACATCGATGAGAAACATAAAATTATGTAAAAACATTCGTGAATCCGTACCTGTAAATCGATAGGTGAACGTACTGCCGTCAGTCACAGCATTCTCGTCATACCACTTGATGATCCTCTTCGCCAGTCTATTCAAACTGCACTTAGATCTTAAAGCATCGATGAACTTGAAAAGTGGAGTTTTTGGTGGAACCTGAGAAAAAGAAGTTGGTAAATTAGGTTTCGACATTTCAATCGCTTGATTTAAAATATAATGATGTGCTAAAGCACATGCGTTATTTTTTAAATGAAGTGGTTCAACATGTGCTCTGTCAATCAATTCTGAGACCAAAGGTACAAATTCTTGTCGGCTTTTCTGCTTGGCAATGAATGTTGTAACATTTGATCTTTTAGTTTCAGCTCCCCAGCTAAGAAAGCAAGCATTTTCATATCATTTGGCAGTTCTGCAAACACAAATATAACATCAATGCTTTCTCCCTTAACTACAATAGAGTATGAGGAGCGCTGAATTCGTTCAATGTCAGTGATCAACTTACCCAAGAAATGCTTAACAGGCAAACAGTTCTCCGCACAATTAGCTCCAAAAAGAAGAAAATTCTCGTTGCTACTCAACACACCATGGCCGATGTTGAGAAAACTAACAAGCCATGAACACGCCGAGTCATCCTTTCCAAAAGGGGCACCATCTCAACCCAAAGCAACATGAAAAGTATTAGGCTGGTCAAATATTAGGATATCATACTTACCATGATTTAGATAAAATCCAGCAAACTTCATTAGAAGATCTTCAATATCCCTATAACAGCCATTAATCTTATCACATTCATCCAACCCTTCACAAAAATTCTCACAGACACTGTGCAACTGACCAATATCAATGGATTTTATATATGCCATTAGCCTGTGGTAGGGAACCAGCCGAGGAGAGGGGCAGTTGGCAACCTTAATACGCGCAGCCCGCTT